TCATTAATTAACATATCTACCCTGTCATGCAAGCTAAACTTTCTCTCAGTGTAGGCCTTGTCAACCTGATGGTTCTATAATTCATCTCCACTATGCGCCTAAGTTCAGTACAAGAGTATGGGCCATGTCACTTTCACAATTTGAATGGCTTGAAAGTTCACACAAGTTTTCCCACATTGCAGCCAGCTCTCTGTGCATTCAAAGAACTAAAAGTTTGTTCCATATGATAAGACATCTAATAGAATTCATAAAGCATCTCATCTCAAGTCCATATCTCTCATATCTACACCTCCAGTTGAACAATTACCCCATAAACAATGCATTAAAAGCAACCAAAATTGAAAATATGGTAAATAGATGGACCAACCTGAGCACCACGATTCATTCGTTGTGCATTGGGAAAGACAAACTTCAATTCCTAGGAAAGAAAGCAAATATCTATTAATAAATGATGTATGCAAAAACATAAAACCGAAAAGAAACAAATCCAAGTTCAAATAAACAGAGAAAAAATTTGGAAAATTTAGAGACTAGCCTAACCTTTACGAACTGTGTAAGAGGGGCACTGGGATTGCGCGATGTGGTAAGCAAAATCTTAGGATCTCTATCAGCCGCATTTGCATATTCATCATCAATTGTTGGTCGAGGAACTACATAAATACAATTGGAACCAGGACACCAACAGACAAAATGGAATCAATTTTACCATGAAAATGAGAAGACTGCAAGAATACTATAGCCGAACCAATATAATAGGCAACATGTTTATAGGGAAGTCGAACATTACACGTTCCTCTTGCGTTCAATCAGTCAGTGACATGGCAAGCTTTACAACCAAACAAATATTCTCATAGAACAAGGCTTGTATATCTAATTTCAAGCATGATTTCCAAATGAAGAGCTCAGCTCCATCCTGTTGGATTTTCATCTTTCCCTTGACTGAACAAAGCTATATTAAAGAACGAAAGGGGGAGAATGGAACGTTTTTCCAATACTTTATTAAAACGTGCCCCCCCATAAGGGATATCAACTCAATCCATGGGAAATCATGCAGAGGCCTACTTTATAAAAACTACTAGAAAGGAGACCACCACATAGATCGAAGTTATGTACTATATAATATATGA